TCTCTCTCTCTCTCTCTCTCTCTCTCTCTCTCTCTCTCTCTCTGTCTCTCTCTCTCTCCACGCATACACACGCACTCTTAACTCATGCATTTTTCTATTTGTTTAATGTGAAATTATAAACAAATTTTCTGTTTAATTAATTACAGTTATTATTCTTTGTGATGCTTAGTGATCCCAAATTTAGACAGAGGGATACCCTCAAATCTGCTTCTGCATCTCTTAGACCTGACCCCACTGGGCTTCTGGGAACAACAAGATAAACTAGACTTACCTTGTACTTCCCTCAGATCTGGAATCAGCCATTTCTCCAGAAAGATCTAGCTACTTTTGGTGGGTGCTGGTCTTAGAAATTAAGATTTGGACACTGGATGGTCCCATTGCTCTTGGGGTTCTTGTTTCCAGGCTCCTTCAGTGGACAGAGGTGAGAAAAATAAAATGAGTTCATAGTATTATTGGTTCAAGCTTAAAAATTAAAACAATTCTTCTTGTACAGTTAGCCTCTCAATTTACAGTTAGGTTCATTTGTTTATGTTTGTGCACAATTTGGTGGGTTGTTTTTTTTTGCAATTTCTTAATTTAATTTTTGAACATGTAAATCATGTACACAAAACTAGAAACTATATTTAAAGTCATATTTAGAGAAGTTTTATTCCCATGCCAATGCTCTCCACTCTGTTCCCACCCCCCCTCCATTAGTTCTGGTTTATTCTTCCTGTGTTTCTTTATATATGAGTGTGTACACACATATATGTGTGTGTGTGTGTGTGTGTGTGTGTGTGTATTGCTATTTCCCCTTCTTACCTACACAATTTATGATAAGGTTGTAGATGGGAGCCTAGAGTTCTGGGAGAGAAAACAATTTTAAAGGAGTCAAATTTGCTTACGAATCTTAGATCCACTCCCTGCTAGCTGTGTGGCTTGAACTAGTCACATTGCCTCTCTGAGTCTCAGTCTCCTTATCTGTGAAATGGGATAACAATTCTTGCCTTGTATGGTTTGGGTTAAAATTAAGTTTTTTCTCATATCACACAAAAGATTAAATTTTAGATAGAATAAAGAGCAAAATGCAAAAACAAACAAACAAAAAAAACCCCTAAAAACTAAAAAGACATTTAAAAATGTTTTTAAAAGAATTTTTAAACCTTCCTGGGCAAGACACAAGCCCCAAGGTACATAAAGGAAAAGAGGTTTTGAGGTTACTCAAAAAAAAGCAAAACAACTATGACAAAGGACAACATCCTACACAATGTTAAAACACGAGTAAAAGAGAAGGTGAAAGTGTTTGCAATATATTTAAAACACATCAGATAAAATCCTTTTGAAAAACTGCTTGGGAGTTTCTAATGAAGCCTACAACCCAGTTATTTTACTCTTAGATATTTACCCAAGAGAAATGAGAACATATGTCCACACAAAGACTTGTGTAAAAATGTGCACAGCAGCTTTCCTTATTATAGCCCTAAACTGGAAACAACTCATAGGTCCATCAATAGGACAATGACCAGTGTGACAATGTGATACTATTTAGCAATAAAAGGAACCAACTACAGATACATGTGACAACATGGTTGAATCTCAAAAACAATATGTTAAGCATAAGGAGTCAGATATAAAGGTGCCTATTTGTATGATCCCATTATGGGAAGTTCAAGAAGAGACAAATCTAATCACTAGTGACAGAAATCAGAACAATGGTTGCCCTTGGAGGTACTGACTAGAAAGGGGCCTGAGGGGACTTTCAGGAGTGATGGAGATGGGCTATACTGTGACTTCATCCATGATTACCTGAGTATATTCACTTGTCAGAACTCCTCAGACTCTACACTTAAGATCTACGTATTTTACTGCATGTAAAATACACCTCAATTAAAAAGACAGTAGATTAAACAGAGCACATATAAAGAGCTCCTAAAAATCACTAAGAAAAGGATAACTACTACAGAAAAATGGGCAAGGGCTATAAACAAACAGCTCATTATTAAAGACATGTACATGTTGAACAAACAAAGAAAGAAATGTTCAGCTTCACAAATAAGCTAAGAAATACATGTTAAAACAATGAGATTTTATTTTTGCCCATCAGGTTGGCAAAAGTTAAAAAGATTAATTGTTGGTGAGAAAGAAGTCAGGGCGAGAAATCAATCACTCTTATGTACTATAAATATGAGGATATTAAAAGACTATTTGGTGGTACCTATCAATGCCTTTTGACCTGACACTATGATTTCTGGAAACCTATACAAAATAGGAATTATTTTAAACATGATATTTCTGTACCACGGAATGAAGTAGCTCTATATGTACCTATATGAAAGGACATATAACTAAGTGAAGAAAAGCAAAATGCAGAATAATATGTAGTATAGCATGATCCCATTTGTATAAAAAAAATCCAAGTGTGTATAACTACATGCGTATGTATATAAATGTCCAGAAGGGGACAGGAAAATTTTACTTTAAGTGCTGACAGGGTTATTTCCCAGGAGGAAATATTGCACTGTATGTTTTTAGTATTATTTTTGTAATTAGAATGTATTCCTGTATTCTTGGTGTAATTTGAAAAACAAACCTAAAAGGGTTTTGGCAAATTCTTTGATGCGAACCAAGGATTTCTTAAGGAATTATCAGATACATACACTTAGCCCTTAATAGATGCCCAGCATTGGGCGATAGGGGAAAAGAACCCAAAGAAATGTGTCCCACTCAGCCCTCCGTACTTTCACCTCATGGTGATCACAAGATGTTAATCATGCTCAATGCAGTCACTTCTGTTGTTCAACACGCACTGGGACACATTTGGCAGCTGGAGTGTGTGAGTGTACAAATGAATTCTCACATGTGCGGTGGGCATGAAGGTGGGGTGAGGGAATCCTCTCCCTGAAACTTAATAATGTAGGTTAATAACTCCTTATCAAAACCCTGGGAAGCACGTGTTTTGAAAATAAGAAATTTTATGATTTTAGAAGATACTTGTGTACAAAACTTGTGTTGTATGGTACTTGTAGCAGAGTCCGGAGCAGTGCCTTATAGTCAAACACGCAATAATTCTGCAGCAAAATGCATGAATATTCATACTGACTATAAAGACTAAATAAGTGTGACTGGTTAGCTCAGTTGGTTATAACGTGGTGCTGATAACACCAAGGTTGCCAGTTTGATCCATTGGCCCAACATGGGCCACTGTGAGCTGCCCCTTCCTAAGAGTCAACTATGCCATTGTAGCATGAAAGCAATGCGTAACTAATGGCCATGACTGTTCCCCAATTAAAAAAACAAAAACAAAAACAAAAAACAACCCACTAAATAGCTACAGGTCAGTGCGAGTCAGATTCTGCTGCCAAATGAGTCTGTGCTGAATGGACACCATCAACTTGTGGCATTTGAAATCTTTCTGTATTTTGGAATTGTGGATAAAACGATCACTCATGAATCCTTACTTTTAAAAAACCATTTCTGCAACACAATGTCTGTTCTGTAATAGCATTCTGTCCCCACAACTGACCACACAGTGGACATGATCAAGTTAAAGGAGTGTTGGTGCCCGAGAGGCCAGCCTTAGTCATGCCAGTAATTTCCATCTTTGGCCCAATTGTATTAAGATTAGGAAAAACACTGTTCCCACACCAGCTCTTGCATTTTTCCATTTCTACTCACTCCTAGGAAATGACAGAGGGTAAAATACTACAGCACAGCCATATACTTTTCCACATGATGCAGGGTGGACCGAATGGAAGCAGTGCTGGAAACTCACTCTTTTTGTTTCCAGGCTCAGATCTTCATTAGTTGATGTGAGGAAATTAAAGTCAGCGTGTGAATGTCAGCTCCAGGTCAGCTAGGTCTCAGACGTAAAATTTCATATTGCCACTTCTCACCGGAGTCTGGGGTCTGAAACTATGCTACCCATGTGATGAGGGAACCTCCCAGCAGAAGAGTGAAGTGGACCCAGGTTGGTGGTGCTCCCTAGTGGCTGCAAGGAGCAACTACAAATCTCCAATGGAGGAGAGTAAATCTCAATCTGATTTATCAAACAGAAACTACAAAAATCACACTCAAAGCAATGAGTCACCATGAGCAAGAGTCAGCAGAGACAGCAAGCAACAGAAATCAGCCAGGTTTCTCAACCTCAGAGCTACTGAAGTTTTGGACCAGATAATTCTTTACTGCGGGGGCTGTCGTGTGCCTGTTTGCAGCATGCTTAACCTCTATCCACTAGATGCCAGTAGCACACACACAAACGTGCATACACACACACACACACACACACACACACACACACACACACACACACCAGTTTTGACAACCAAAAATGTCTCAATATCTCCAAACATTTCCAAATATCCCTGGAGGATTTAGATTCTCAAAGATTTAGATCCTCAAAGATTTCAAATATTAGAATAATGACATAGGTCATAAAGTAACTTTGTATGAAATGCTTAAAGACTTAAAAGATAAAATGGAAAAAAGTGATCAAGAAATAAGAAACTACCAAAAATTACAGGCAGGTATTTATAAAGGTTCAAATAGAATTTCTATAAATGAAAAAAATATATAATCTTTGAAATTAAAAATTCCATGGATGTGTTAGACACAGATGAAGAAAGAATTAATGAATTAGAAGAGAGATAGTTAAAGAAATTACCCCCAACTGCATCAGAAGAGCAAGAAAAGGAAAAGGGAAATGTGATGGGGAGGTGAAAAGACAGGGAAAACATGATAGAGAGGTTAAGATACAACTAACTGGAGCTCCAGAAAGGAAGAATAAAGAGAATGGGAGAGAGGCAGAGATAATGCCTGAGACTGTTTAGGACCCACAGATGCAGGAATTCCCAGAGATACCGAGCAGGATGCAAATGCAGGTTGTCGTGAGCTGGATGCGGAAAAGCTGAGGACTGAGCCTCAAGGACTCATCATTAACATTGAGACAGCAATCCAACCCAGGAGTCCATGGAAGGGCCATGCTGGTACCAATGGCATGGCTGTGGGAATCCGGCAAAGGGGACGAATCCCTGGGGATGGCTGACCTGAGTTCAGTCTTAAAGGATGTTGAAGGATATTCATTCAATGTTGAATCAGGAGACCTTGATCTGAGCCCTTTGTTTTACAGGACAGCCTGGGAGATTAACTCGGGGTGGGATGTACAAGGACAGAAAGGAAATAGGATGGTGTTCTAAGCAGGGGAAGGGCATGAGCAAAGGAATGGAGGAAGGATTAAACACTTCATGAGCAAAGACAACAGAGGGTCCTCTTTGATCAGATTGGGGAACATGTAAGAAAGCAGCTACAAACCTGATTGGGTGGACAAGGTGAAAGAGCCTGGGGAAGTCCCTTGAGAGATAAGCAGGTGTGTTTGGACTTGAAACTTTAGGCTAAGGGTTGACAAACTACAGCCTGTGGGCCAAATCTGGT